CTCAGGCGCCCAAACTCGGGCCCCTTTAGGGCAATGATGTCCTTCAGTGTATGCGAACAGTACTCGAGTTGAATGTATAGGAATTTGTGCTCAAACCACGAGTTGTAATACTGGACCACATATTCCGCCGGTATTTGTACTAAACATCTCAGTTCACCAAATAGTTTATACATGTAATCGTAGTTTGATTCTATAATGAGATTCTATAATGAGAATTGATTCTATAATTTTTATAGATAATACTGAGAAAACACACTACATGGTAACTAATAAGGTAATAATTAATCTTCATTAATACAGTAGTTTTGTTTTAACATAAATAATGACAAAACTAATTAGATATCATAGATATAACAAAAGTAATTTCAAACTAGATATCTAACTAACTATTATTAAACTTGATAATATGAGTCTATTATTTAAAAAATTATTAAAATTACTTTAAAAAATGCCTAAAACATGTTATCGCGGAAAAGGCTATAATTATTTACAACTTATGGAGATGAATTATTAATGAAAACAACTCGATTGAGCAAAATATAAAAATATTTCCCTATTTAAACCTTTATAATTTCATAAAGCCATGTTTGAATTAATTTGCAAATCAATGTAATATTGATTGAAACCCTAAAATAGAGGGAAAGTTTTAGGTAAATGGGAAATACTTAAAACTTAACTCTCAATGAAAGTTTATATACACTCATAGTAATCAACAATACATTATTACAGTTTTTAAATATTATATGTTAATATTTTTCAATAGAAATACCATAAAAATGTTATAGGGCAAAAAGCAATAATTTTTACAAATTATGGAAATGAATTATTATTAATGATAACAACAGCCCAAAAAAATATTTCCCTATTTAAATATAAATTTAATGAATTGGTTTGAATTCGAATCCATTTGCAAATCAATGTAATATTGATTGAAACCCTCAAACAGAAGCAAAGTTTTAAGTAATTGGGAAATACTTATAAAATAAATATGAATAAAAGTTTATATACACGCATTGTATTCAACAATACATAATTACAGTTTCTAAATGTTATAGCTTATTATATTTGTTTAATTATTTGTAAATCAACATTGTATAACGCAAATGTAATTATTATGGTAAATAATTAGTATATTGTTGAACCAAATTGTATCAGTATGATCTAGTGTTATCTTTAAGCTCTATTTAGAATGATTATTGTAATTAATGTATTGTTGCCAACCTTTAAACTCGATAATCTTGACCACATAGATATCATCGGCGAACCGACGCTTCACTTTGACAACTGTCCCAAAACCACCTGAGCTGCCAATAGTACCCAACTCTTCAAACGTCTCCTTATAAAAGCGGATAACCGATGGACTGAATGGATAGCCTATTATATTAGTAATTTAATTAAAACTCAATTAAAACTTAAATATAACTATTTTAAAACAAGCTAAAAACACATGATAAATACAGTACTTTACCATCGATATCATAATCACTCATTTGGGGCTCAATATTGAGTTTACTCAACGACTTGAGCACAAACTCTGGCTTCTCGTTGATAACCCACTCCTTATATTCAGTCAAATTGATTGTAT